ACAACCATGAGCTCCCAAATTCGTCAGAATTATTCCACCGAGGTGGAGGCTGCGGTCAACCGCCTGGCCAACCTGCATCTGCGGGCCTCCTACACCTACCTCTCTCTGGTAAGGGTCCCCGGGGCACCCCTGGCCCGCGTTCCCCACAACTACGCACCTCGGGCTCTGGGCCCGCGGGGCCCTCTTTGTTCTGCTGGGCGGAGGGCGGAGTCTGCACGCCCGGCCTGGCCTCCCCGCTAACCACCGTTCCCGCCATCTCTTCCCGCAGGGCTACTATTTCGACCGCGACGATGTGGCTCTGGAGGGCGTGGGCCACTTCTTCCGCGAGCTGGCGGAGAAGAAGCGCGAGGGCGCGGAGCATCTCCTGAAGTTGCAGAACAAGCGCGGCGGCCGCATTCTCTTCCAGGACGTGCAGGTAAAGAGCGTGTGGGCCTGTGGACTACATCTCCCAGCAGCCCCTGCGCGCGCACGGGGTGCCGTCGCCCCCCGCCGTTTAGGCGCTGCGTGGGCTTCTGGGAGATTTTCTGATCTGCGTGGGTTCTTGTTGTGGCTAGAAATGGAGGCGCAGAGTGGTCTTGGGCGGTCGGAGAGGGGTAGGTGGGGGAGTGGTGGTGCTAGACGTCTCTTAGCTTTGCCCCTGCAAATGTTGGGGGATGTAGTTTTTAGTCCTTTGCGGGGTATGTGGCCGATTCTGAGCCTTCTGTCTGGCGTAGAAACCTTCCCAGGATGAGTGGGGCAAAACTCAGGACGCCATGGAAGCCGCCCTGGCCTTGGAGAAGAACCTGAACCAGGCCCTTTTGGATCTGCATGCCCTGGGTTCGACCCGTGTCGACCCTCATGTAAGTACCCCCTTTATCCGCATCTGCCCATCCCAAGACCTTCCCTGGAATAGAGCTTATGTTCTAAGCCTTGGCCTCGCTTGGGCAAATTTCCTTGTGAACAAACGTCGTTCCCCCGTCTGTCTGTCTGTCGTTCCCCCGTCTGTCGCACTGTTATCTGCAAGCGGCAGCATTGTCTCTTCTCCTATCACTCAGCTCTGCGACTTCCTGGAGAACCACTTCCTGGATGAGGAGGTGAAACTCATCAAGAAGATGGGCGACCACCTGACTAACATCCGCAGGCTGGCCGGCCCCCAGGCTGGGCTGGGCGAGTATCTCTTCGAGAGGCTCACCCTCAAGCACGACTAGGAGCCTTTGGAGCCCAGAGGCCTTTCCGAGGCCCCCCCTGCACCCCCCTGGCGTCTCTGGCTTTTACCTGAGCCTCTTCCCGAAACTACTAGCCATTCCTTTAACCACCCTGGAGCCCTCTCCCGTGCATTGGACCAAATGAGACAATAAAGCTTTTTGCAACAGTTGGTGGTTTTGTGTGTGTGTGTGCGCGCGCGCACGCGCGCGCGCGCTGTGGGAGAGGAGGCGGGATCTGATTTCGCCAGGCTAACGGCACTGGGCTGGCAGGGAGGGAAGATGGGATCTCGCCAGCCACCTGCGGAGGTGTTTGTAACGGTTCTCTGAACGGCCCCACCTCCAGGGTGGAGCCCGGACTCCAGGGAGGGGCTGGTGGCTGCAAACAGACACTTAGGAATACCAGACAGAAACCATACCCTTTTAGTCGCCCAGTGCTGGGCCAAACTGGCTCTAACAGGGAGAGAGGTCTAGAATTGCAGCCCCTGTATATGGGTGAGTGCAGGGTATTCGTACGTAAGTAGCCCATGGCCACCAGGAGGCACACCCAGGCTGCTTGCTGCCTTTACTCCAAGGCAAGCAACGGGGAGACACAGTCGGGTGAATCTGAGGGGCTGGGAGCACATGATGGGCACGAGCTGCTGAGCCAGGGATCGGGGGTCAGCACGGAAACGGGGAAGTGAAACGGGGCCAAATCATCCGAACGGGAACTGAAGATATTTGAAGCTGAGTCCCAGTTACACAGTGACCCCCTGCCCTTCCCTGTTTGGGGGAGAAGAACCCAAGAGGAAGTGGCTGCTGGACACACCTGTTCTTTCTGTCCACTCAGCACCACGTCCCTGCTTGTCACCCCACTCTGATGGCGACTGGTGCTCCTGGGGGGGGAGGGGCTTGTGTGCGTGTGTCACCAACGCAGCGGCCGACCGGAAGGATGAGCACACATCCAAATCCAAACGTCGGAGCTATTTACTCCCCTGGAGAGCAGTTGGTGCAGAGATGTACTATGACCTAGTAAAGACTACAACGGAAAGGACAAATATTTTTTTTCTGAAAATAGAACTCTGCAGGGGACAGCCTGGTCCGAGACCAAAGGCCGCAGAGCCCTGGAAACGTGCCCGCCGCTAGAACGGTCCAGCAGAACTTGGTGGCAATGATGAAAATGTTCTATAGCTGCACCCACCGACCAACAGGGTAGCCAGGAGCCACATGTGGCTACTGAGCACTCGCTTGTGGCTAGTGCTGAGGGATTTAAAGAGCCCCACATGGCTCATGGGTTCCATGTGGATCCCTTTTCAGTGACAAAGCCCCTTTAGGTCAAACAGAGCTTGACCCAAGTTTTTGCTACTTGCAAGTTAGGTCCCAACTAAACAAGACAGCCCTGGCTGGTTTGGCTCAGTGGATAGAGCGTCGGCCTCGGGACTCAAGGGTCCCAGGTTCGATTTCGGTCAAGGGCATGCATGTACCTTGGTTGCGGGCACATCCCCAGTAAGGGGTGTGCAGGAGGCAGCTGATTGATGTTTCTCTCTCATCGATGTTTCTAACTCTCTATCCCTCTCCCTTCCTCTCTGTAAAAAATCAATAAAATATGTAAACAAGACAGGGGTTCCTTCCCATGAAAGAACACTGGGAACCACAACAGCAACCCAAGTCTCTCTGGGAGAGCAGAATGACATTGGGGACCCGGGGTTGGGGTGGGGGACAGGGGGGAAATAGAGGAGGGAGGGGAGAGAAAGGGGGTAGAGGCCAAGAAGAGGGGAGAGGCCCACCAAATCCTCACGTTGGACCAGACCTGGGATTCTTAAATATAGATGTATTTTTTTTTTCATCTCCACACACACTTCAATCATATCCCTTCTGCCCCCCACTCCCAAGGGCCAACCAATTACATCAGACACAGCACAGCACACGTGAGGGGGACACCTCCCTTTCACCAAAGCTGGGGACAGAAGAGCCTTGAGGTAAAAAAAAAAAAAAGGAAGTTCTAGAACCCCAGTGGGCTCAGTTCTAGACCAGGGGCGCAGCACAGTGGTGAGGTTCTAGATTCGGCAGCGGGGACCTAGAACCCAGTGGTTTTACGGTGGGCCTGGCGGTTGGGGGGTGGTGTTGTAAGACAGCCAGTTCTGCCCTCCGCTGGGGGGGGGGGGGGGGGCTCCCTGGAGGGCACAGAGTCTTGAAATACAGGGGAGAACTCAAGACTCAGGAAGGAAGGAGCAGGGTCTGGTCTAGAAAAGGCCAGAAGGGCATCTAGAGCCATATACTGCACGTTCTCCAGTAGCAACGAGAAGCCAAGTGGTTCTGCCCCCCCCCCCCCCCCAAGTGGGGGGGCTCCCTGGAGGGCACAGAGTCTTGAAATACAGGGGAGAACTCAAGACTCAGGAAGGAAGGAGCAGGGTCTGGTCTAGAAAAGGCCAGAAGGGCATCTAGAGCCATATACTGCACGTTCTCCAGTAGCAACGAGAAGCCAAGTGGTTCTGCCCCCCCCCCCCCCCC